GTTTCCTGCCATTTCCGCGAAATTCGTTTCCTGCTTTAAAAAAATCTCCATATTATTTTTCTCTCTCGACGTCTGTTGTTTCCAGCTAGCGGGAAAACCGCGAACGATATTATACAGGGTTTGCCACGAAAGTATTATCAGATTTTAGATTGCAAATCTTCCAAATTTTGACTTATCGATTGAGCATGAATCGGCGGTTATTTGATTTAGTTCTAAGATGAAAATCTGCACGACAAAGTGGCGTTTACCCGAAGCACTTGTCGTTCCAGCACAATATCGTTTAATGACTTTTTGGCGTGCAAGCCCATCTGTTCAAATGTTCGCGGCCTGGATCAACATATGGTCAACCTGAGGGTGATATTCTTCTATTTTCAAATCACCATAAGCGTACCAGTAATTTTACCATTCACCTTCCTAAATTTATCTTCACAAACACTCGTTTAAGAAGCTTAAATTTACTGATTTATAATGAAATAACTCGTAAAAAAAGTGCAAAAAGCATAAAATCAGCACCTTGATGAAATTGAAGATATTTTGCTAAGTGAAAAAAGATAAACGAATCTCTAGTAAGGCTAAATTTGAATTAATATAAATAAATATCTTCAAAGTATCACCAGAAATTTCTTGTTTAAAATATATCATTTAAGTAGCTAAAATAATTTAGAAAAAATGAAATAACTCGCACAAATTTAAATAAATAAAAATGAAACCTTCGGGTACCCCCATGCACCGATAGGATTTTCCACCCCTTATTAAAACTGGTCCCAATCCGCCACCATGAGATGAATAAATACTCTCGAGCTATAGTGGAATTAGCGATCCCTAGCCGGTGGGGAAAAAACTATCGACTGCTCCATGTACATAACCCCCCCGAAAAGGGCCGACGATTTATCGAAATTAATTTCTACGGTCGCAAATGAACATATGTGCAGGTCATACGATTCTTATTGAAACTTATTCAGCGGGATTAGAGTTTTGCTGCTTTTGTGCTCTCGCTCACCGAACGTCAAACAAAGCGGGCCAACGAGAGTTAAATTGACTGTACTCGTATATAAAAAATAGTTTCTGTTTATAGTATGTGCATGTAGAAGAAATGGGAATTTTTATTAAATTGTAAATGATGCTTTTCTCGGGTTATTTTCGGGGAGTAGATTATTCTCTCTAGTTTTAGTGGTGTTCAGTTATTTACTTGATTTACATCCTGTAGAATCCTTTGATGTTAATTTTTAGAGGAGCAAATATTACTTCATTGATGAAGGATATAATGTAATAGTGGAGTATAGTTTACTGGACTTAAAACCTGTAAAATCCTTTATTTCATTATCCTTTATCCTTACAACTTTTCCTACTTTCGTTATTAGAGAAAAAAATGGGGTAAAATTGGCCTATATGTATACAATACGAGGAATTAACTACAGCTTAAATACTCGACAATATGCTCGCATCGTCCTTTGAATAATATCTACAGGGGGTTGCAATTGATTCTGCATGTCTCCTACCATATGTGCTCAGACCGCATGCACAGGTGTCTCGATTCAACGCCCCGCGTGCACAAACAAAAGACCCGGGGCCCAGCTCAGACTCCCGTTTGTTATTTATTTAACGTCGATAAGTAGATTATCGAGCTTTTAGTGCTTTCGGCGGGGTCGAAACGAGGCGAAAAAAAACTACATATTTAATCGATATGGAATTAAAAATGCGTTCTTCTCGAATTTTTATTAATGGCAGCTTCGCGGCGATTTTTCCGATCGTTAATCAATCGATCAAATTCGCGCCGTTTCGAGATGATTTATGTTCAGTCGCTCTGCCATTATGCCTGCTCCACGACATAAGTTAATCGAGCAAAAGAATCCATTTATAATTCGACATGTAATTAGTGGATTTCGGCTCGAAGAGTTAAAAGGAAACTCTTAATTTCGGACGTTTTACCCATTATTCACTGCGAAGATAAAGAAACAATTTTATCAACAAAACAGTTCAACTGCTAACCGAACGCAATCTTGTTCAGACACCATTAAGTTAATTACGGGTGTATAACAACCCTTTTCTTATGCAGGACCGTCCCCGATACCAGGGAATGGATGTATGTACGTATATTGCTATCCCAGTTATCCCACTTCTGATTTGGATATTTTATCTCATTAAAACTTAGGAGTATTTTGAATACATCTTTATACCAGTGAACAAAGCAAATATATCATCGAGCTTGGGGGGGTAACATTTGTTGGGTCCGGTCCTGCAAATTACAACCCTTTGGCTTCGAAAGACGTCGCGGCGACGGAGAAGGAGATACCGGGCTCTTATTGCGCAAAATAAAAGAGCAATAAAGAGAAAGGACATTATCGGGCGGATGATTTATCGTACGGGGGGTGTTCGTATAATATTAATTCGTTCCGTTTCGCATTCAGATAGATGGCGGTGGTGTGTTTGGGCTAATTGAAATTTATATTTCGAGTCCTTTTGTCGCCGCAATCTTGATAATGTCCGCGCTAAGAGCGCTAAAGACTCTGCTTGTTTTTTTTTTCTTTATTTTTCATTTTTCGTTCTATTCTCATTGTAGATTACATTTACCAAGGTAAAAATGCAATTATTAGAAACTTGTTTGGTTCTTTTATGAAGGTGAAAATGCAAATGCAAATTATACTCTCCTCTATATACTCTCTTCTATTCTCTTCTACTATCTTCTACTCTCTTATCTACTTAGCTAAAGGCCCTGCTTAATTTTTTTTTGTATTTTTCACCAGCGAGATAATCGGGAATAAATCCGATCGCTTGACAAATTCGGTTTTCGATTAAAACGTCCCGTCGAAGACGAAGAAAAATCTCGGAAAAGCCGATATAGAAAGTTTAACGAGCGTTCGGCGAGGCGGAAAAGTAATTTAACCCGAGCCACCTTTGATTCCCGATAAAAACGAATCCTCCGGTGTATCGGAGACAATTATGAGCACATGCGACCTCCGAGGATTTCATCCATCACGGTCGAGACAAGGGTAGTAAATCACTTTTTTTTTCTGCCAATTGTCTGGCAATCACAAAGTTCACGATTTCGTTCTTACCCTGCAATTTCTCTTAAATATTTAATTAAACGTGTATAGACAGAAAACGTTTGAAGTCTATAGGAAAAAGTAGTAGGGTGTACAGTCCTCGCATCGATCCGGTATGATTATCGTATGGGGGTATAAATAGGTTTTGACAGGTCTCCAGGGTGGAGAATAATACCACTTGTACATATGTTAGAAACTCATTGTTCGACCCCCGTATATAATGTATGAGTAAGCCCACTCGTCGAACAACCTGTTCTAGATTTGCGGCTATTTTCAAGTATTTATAACAACAATTCGCAAGTCAAAAATTTACAGTAGATACTCGTAAAAGGCAAGTTTGAGCTTTTTTCTAGAGCTTTTTTTTCGTGTGATGTTTCTAGGAAGTGACCGGTATAATAAATAATGTAATTAATATTGTTCAGATTGTTTGTTTGTTGATACTTACTAACTCCAGTATTATAATTATTGCATTGTCTTAAATAATTACTGAAAATTTATTTAGGATAAGATTAATTATAGGTATTACATAAGAAATTTTATTATGAATACGATGATTTATACTCTTTTTACCATCAGGAGATAGTAAATAAAACCTAATTTTGTATGCAAAAGAAAGCATCAACGATATAACCATATAAAATTCCAAGACTTTTGCTATTGTGTAACTAATAAATAAATTTTACTTTATTAGTACCACTCTGTATACAGTGAGTATAAAAATAGGCGACCCATTTCTAATCCCAGATAAAGTAACCTGAAAAAGGGCACATTCGTGCTTCTGGGATATTAAATATACAGGGTGTTTCACAACTTATCCGACAAATTCTAACTACATATGCACTGTTATGAAAGAAGTTGATTTCTCAAAAAAATGTAATAAAAGTCCTACAGAAATCAAATTATAAACCCGAATTTCAATAATAAATTAAAAAATAAATATCTGCATTTTGCGTTCATAATTTTGCCTTAATACTTTACTGTAGTAAATGTTGTACCAAAACAATGGTTAAAACAAAAAACAAGGAATGTTTTGTGTGTTCATACTGATAAGAACGTGTAAGTACATCTTGTATAGGTAATTGAACTGTTAAACTATTATTTTATTATCTCGATTTCTGTAAGACTTATTAATTTTTTTTTTGGAAATCAACTTCTCTCGTAACAGTGCATATTTGGTTAAAATTTGTCGGGTAAGTTGTGAAACACCCTGTAGAATATAAATGGAAACAATCAAATTAAAAATCTACCAGTAATTATTACAGGTAATTGCTAGTTATTTATCAAATTATTAATTCAGTAGTGCCCACTTTTTACTACTATCTCCTGATAGCGAACAGAGTGTAATTAAATTATTTTATAAAAGGAAAAACCAAATTACTTTTTTATTGAAAATCAATAATTTTCCCCAATAGTGTCCATAAATGCTTAAAATATATCTCTCCTTCTGCGTGTACCTCCTACTGAAAAAAATATAACCAGCTAAAAAAAATCGCAATTTTTTATTGCAATTTTCAAAATTTTTTTCCATCCGGATTTTCCTTATCAGTCCGTCCTATACAGTCGGAAAAACCGCGAACCCGCAACGTACTCGAACGTTACGTACATTGAAAACCGTATTGGACGACCGTATTTCCGAGCTCCACCCCTTACTAAAACTCCATTGGCCTGATTTTACCCTAAAACTTACGTTCACCCCTATAGGAGCTTTACGCAAAATGTGCTTTTATAAACGTACGTGGCGCCGTCTCCGTCGCTCGCGCCGCCCTCCCCATGCGCCTCTCTCGCTCTAGCATAAGGGGGTGGAATTCCAGCTGTTCCCTAAAGGGAGTAGAGTAGGAACAATATTTCTGTCCGACGGTTAAGGGAGCATTTTTCGCATTATCGGTGCAGATTTCGCAGCGGAAACTTGTGTTCTAGTGATTGTATTTTCGAGATTGTATTACAAAAAAAATAATAATGGAAATTTCGAAGTTAAAAAGTGAGTTGCGTTGTGACGAACCCAAACCGGTGAAGAGGCCCTTCGACGTGGCTTTCCTCATGCTTCCCGACGAGAAACTCAAGCAGAAACAGAAATCGGAAGTGTACGATAACAGCTACAACAGCACCGAAGAGGACGAGGAAATCGACATCGTCGACTCCCCTCGTGAGTACAAGAAATCGAATCTATTGAAACCCAAAAATTTGGACGATCTGCGCGCCAAAGGCGAGCAGAAGAGCGCCTTCACCAAAGTCAACATGAAAGAATCCAGGCTATCTCCAACGTTAAGCACCAGCCCCGATCTAAACTACCAAAGCTCGCTGAGTCCATCGCCTCCAATAATCAACAAAAACTACCAAAACTTCCCCACAATGGTGACCCCCAACCGACTGTTCAAAACCCAGCAACTAACATATCAAAACCAAAACCCAAACCAGTTCCTGCACGACACCGCGGCTTCGAACCTCGAAGCCCACTTCTTCAAATCCCAGCCGGAGCTGATCCAGCCGAATTTCTCCAAGCTGCGGCCGATCTACCGGCCCGACCTGGCCTTCGGCTACCAGCAGTCCACCAGCAATCTACCGGCGATCTACCAGCCGGAGCTGCGCGGCCCCGCCGCCGCCATTCTCACCTCGCTGCTGCCGCCCAGCCTGGCCGCCCTCAGCCTGCCCGCCCAGAACATCTGCGCCAAATGCAACATCTCCTTCAGGATGACCTCGGATTTGGTCTACCACATGCGGTCGCATCACAAGAACGACGCGCCCGATGCTGGAAGGAAGAAGCGCGAGGATAAGCTCAAGTGTCCCGTGTGCGCGGAGTCCTTCAGGGAGCGCCATCACCTCACCAGGCACATGACCGCCCACCAGGATAAGGAGGAGGACGAGGAGCACGGCAAGAAGGGGTTCTAAACAATTTGTGATACATTCGGTTGGTAAAGGCGTTGTACTCCGTTCGCTTGAAGGAGATAATGATAGTAAGTATATCTCCTGATTGCGAACGGACTATAGTTATGTTATTGGTGTTTATTTCGAGAGACTTGGCGTTAATTTTTGATTAAATTTTTTTTGCCTGCACTCTTAAAAGTAGGGAAAAAGTGCATCGTGTTAGGTTGGGATTATTGGGGAAATTAAAAAATTGTTTTGGGATAATTAAATTATATTGCAGTCAGAAATAGGTAATTTATACTGCCGGCTAATTGTAAAAAACCAAGTTTCATCTTTTGGATTAAAATTATAGTAAAATTTCCTCACTATTTTGTAAAAGTTTTTTTGCAACACTTTTCTCATTTTAAGAATTTTCTCCACATCTAAAATACTGTACAGATATACAGATAAGTGCAATTTGAGTTGAAAAATGAAAGCTTATTGTGAACAAATTGCTTTTACCTGTATATTGTAAATTAATAAATTCTCAACGATTTTCTCTCTACTGATATATCTTACAATAGTTTCTATAATAGCTCACTGTGTATATATTAGAGTTAGCAATTTATAATTCTACGAAAGTGTATCGAAAAGCAATTAATTAGCATCTATAAGGAAACAAGACTGTAAATATTTGTATATTTCAAGATATGTAGATATTAATTTACCCGTTGATTTTTGTTGATTATATGTGCAATATCCGATTGATTTTAATAAAAGTTATACGAAACAAAACTTCCTGAGCGTATATTAAACTACCTTCTCCGCATTTTCGCTATTACAACGTTTCGAATCTATTGCTCCTTTCCCCTTCAGTCGTAAATAGCGCGTTAGATAAGGGCATTAAAAAATAGTAAAATAAAAAGTTAAAACCGCCGATTGGTATCAGAAATTTATTAGCGGAATGTCCTTTCGAGATAACTTTCTATTACTAAATACAGCCGTCAGATTTTGAAGGGTGCGTAGGACATCCTCGGAGCAGGGGTACCAAAAATGTCAACCCCTAATTTATTTGAGGAACATCTGAGTCATACAATTTATTATTTTAACAGATACATAGGGATGATTGTATGAGGTTTTTTTATTTTTTTACTGCTGATTTCAATAAAATGTAATAGAAAAAATGGGTAAAATGGGTGGTCTTATTAAAAAGAATAAGGGTATTTTTTGGAGTATAACTTTTCACAATATTTGTGCACAATTAACAGTTTTTTTAATACAAGTTTAAGTACCTTTAACTTTGCTAAGAATATACCTTACAAAAATAAACTGCTCCACAAAAGTTAAGGAAGTTCGCAAATTTTGCAATTATTTTAAAAGTTAGAGACTTTTTGATCACCAAATTTTCAAATATGCGAAATGAAATGTTTTCTCTCATATCTGAGTGGATTTTTTGTCCCTACCTCTACAACTCATACTAAATTTGGCGATCAAAAAACCTGCAACTTTTAAATTAATCTCAATATTTGTGAGCTTCCTTAACATTTGTGGATCAGTATATTTTACGGGATATTTTGAATATATAAATTTTGGATGAATAAAAAAATAAACATTTTTAGAACCACCGCTCTAATTGATGGTTATCAACGGAAAACATTAGAGCCGCTACTTTGTTCTGCCGTGACAAATCAATTTGAAGATATACATATGTATGCAAACCCTTAATGTATGCACCCCATTCTTACCACCGAAAACATCCCTTAAATGCGAGAAGTACTCCCGCAACGAAAAACTCTCGTTCGATCCACGGCTCCAGCGAAAATTCTTTCGTCCTCTTTCCCTTCGGTTATTCCAACAACAATTACAACATTACCGGCGTTGCAATAACTCAAAACGGAAATTACCGCCGGAATGTACGTGGAAACCCGCGGATGTTGTAAAGCGAAAGACCAATTACGGCTCTAAACCGGCGCGAGATACGAGCAATTAGAGCGAGGAGAAGCGTTTACATGAGACGCTCTTCGGCTCAAACCCGAAGACAAGATTGGAATACTCAAGTAAGACACGTTTCTACGTTGTTTAGATAAGACGAGTAGGCGAGTCGTGATGGAAACCGCTTCCGTGCGAATGATCTACACTTTTAAATTACACGTTTCTATACTCCGTTCGCTATCAGGCGATTGTAATTAAATCTAATTTCATATGCAAAAGACAAAGTAAGACTGACACAATGAAAATCATAGTATTTTGTGACTACATCACTTGCAGAAATCTAACTATTTGGCTAAGAAATTATACTCCGTTCGCTATCAGGTGATTGTAATTAAATCTAATTTCATATGCAAAAGACAAAGTAAGACTGACACAATGAAAATCATAGTATTTTGTGACTACATCACTTGCAGAAATCTAACTATTTGGCTAAGAAATTATACTCCATTCGCTATCAGGTAATAGAATATAGCCTAAGCAGTGTCTACTTTTTACAGCTTCAAGAATGTGAGAGTCTTCTTTTGGAGTAAGTAGAAATTGGCTCGAGTTAAAATTTTAACGGTGTACCTACGAGGCGAATTTTAATGTTAAAATCCAAAAGGAGAAAATCGGGGAAAACTATGAAAAGCACGTGGATCTCGTTGTGACGACGCCATTAAGCATCCCATCTTAATTAGAGGCGAAACGGGCGTCGTTACGCCCGAAGAAGGCGTCTTGGTATATCACTTAAACGACGTCCCCGGATAAGATCAGTTATATTCAAACGAGTACTGTATAATTTAAGCGTCGCCTTTCGCCCGGAATTCCCAATTAGGATAGATTGCGGATTTTTCTAATTATCTTTTGCCGGCGGAAAAAAAAATCCCGAACATCCCCGCATTCTGGAATTTTGACTAATTGCTTGAGATTTCCATATGAATGAGATTATGAAATATGGTAACATTAATATGGATATATGCTCGAAAGTGAATTGTAAGCAGTCCTCGGTGACCTGCGTTTCGAACGCTTTCCGAAGCCCCAGAAACTAAAACCGCCGCCGAGGGAGCGGCGGGTCGGGGGGCGGGAAACGAGCCGGGGGCGGAAAACGCGAGCTCTCGCTTGTTTGCCGAATTAAATCGTTTGAATCAATTAAATAAGCAAGATAAGCGAATGGTCCTTTTTATGCAACAAGATTCAATGTTGTTTCATTAATTAGTTCAATTATTAGAGTAACTACCACAAAATTTAGATTATATTTTTGGTTATACTCCGTTCGCCATCAGGCGATAGTAAGAAAGCCTTCTTGTAGCGGTAAACAATGATTATATACACATTTTCCTGTGGGTTTCCTGTTGGATATTCCTGTTTCTCTGCATTTAAATTAAATCCGGCAACCAGCTAGCACCAATCTCTATGTATGAGATTTTCATTAATTTGCATAAAATGTGTCTCGGCTATTCGTATATCTTACGCTTTTGATTTACGACTCCTCTTTCGGTCTGTTTATATTCCAATTTTTGTCTCGGAAACATTTTACACACTGCTCCACGTGAAATACTACCCTTTTAATTACCTACAATCTCTTATTATCTACCCATTAATATCCCCTAAATCTCATTGATTGTAAATAATTTAGCGATGGCAGTAAATAGCCGGAAAATTAACGAACATTTTCCGGGGTTTTCGCGAAGAAATCGGACACTTGTTCGACGCTTTTTTTCCGGCGAGCAAACTTAATTTTCCGGGTGTTGAGTCGAGTCCGGCGTTTTAGACGCGGAAAGGAACAAACAATATCAGATTAGCGCTGTCAGTGAAACGGATCCGTCGTGGATGCGCAACCGACCGGCCGGGCGGGTAAAAATCTCGAGCGAAAACTGTTAAATTTTACACGAGTTGCGGTGAAAATCCTCTGCGGAAAATGGCGTAATTGCCGTGGAAGGTGATAGTGAAACATTAATATGAATTGCATTATCGAAATGTTTTTATTGATGCGTTTAGGCGGTCGAGTAGCCACGTCTGTGGAGCCTCGCTGGGGAATCTGGTAGTAAAGGGCCCCTCGAAGAGTGTCCCTTTTCCGAACGACGAGAATTCCACACTTGTCTCAGATTATGTCCTGTTTTTATTTATGGACTCGCGCGCAGATTATATCTGGATTTGTTCTTTTTTATATTCATTTTTTTAATGATGAGCCCGGGCGTTATCTTTTGATTAATTTCACGTACGAGGACGCCTCGAAAAGTACAGTTAGAAAAGTTGGAATCCCGCAATGTCGCTCTTTCTTTTTCTTTTATATGGAACTTTTGGAAGTTGTCTTTGTTGCGACCACATTGCGTACAAATTTGCACTTTTCTGTACATTTATTTTTTTATCGACAAGTTACGAGGGTAACTTTTATTTTCGATCATTTTCCCCCGGCAATCACCGATGACAGATTTATGAAAATATTTGCGCGAATCGGCGGTTATTTTAAATATTCCCGGTTTTCATTCGATTATGCAGATTCGATCGCCTAACAAAAAAAGAACATAAAAAACAGTATCCCGATGAAAAGTACGGTTGTTTGTTTGTCGGGTTTCCCGAAGATGAAAAGGCCAAAGAAAAATACAAATCAAAATGTATAGCAAATAATAATAACAAATGAATCATTGATTGATTGATTGAAAGTTCGATTGACCATTTCAAACCTACCGTTAACGTTATTGAGCTAATAAAATATTATTTCACTTTATAAATTTTCTACATTTCGGCGACTCGACGCGCCGGCTATAATTTTAACGAATGGCCGAAGGAAAACTAGGAAAATTCAAAGAAAAACACACCCATTTTCCGTTATAACAACCAATAGAATATGAAATAAAACAATAGCGAGGCGACGGAATTGCTCTAGCTAAAATTGAAAATTACTTTTCGAGCGTCAAAATGATCTAAGAGCTCCTTCTTATATTGAGCTCAAAGTATACAGGGTGGAACAAAATACAAAATTTTATTTGTTCTGTTAAATTACGGGATGTTCTATTAACAAGAAAGAGTGATATTGGAGGATTGCAACTTTTACTCACTTTAACTACTGTTATTTTAATAATCTTTCTTTGTTCAACTCACATAGAATTGACCATATTGCAAAGAAATTTGCACTCACTCTATAAGTATTGTATTAGTAAGTTGAAGCACCCTGTATTAAAAATGTAATTTCATAGAGAGATCTATATATTTCTGAGATAGCCGCCGGCCAGTTTTACCAATATGACAGCTCGTAAAATAAGTGATCGCCCATCTAGAGGGCTCTAATAGAATTGACAGAGCCACCTTTGACGCGAACGCGCCGGGGGAATACCATTCGATTTTTCCGGGGGAGAAGACCCTTAGAAAAAAAAAAACTAAAATTAGATACTCTAACGCGTTTAAAAAACGAATCAAAATCCACGACTTCGGAGACGAAAAATAATGCGCTCTTCCGGACGACCCCTGCTCCTTTAACCCCTTGTTAATCCTCTTTGGGAACCCGAAGGTGGCCGTGACGTCCCTTTATCAGCTCAAAATCATCGGTGTTACACCGTAACCTCAATTAATACTCTATAATCACAGCGGCGCACCAATTCTCAATCGTAATATAAATTATAACATCACTGGCATCACTGCCTAAAGAAACTGTGCTTGAATATGAGCAATAAAAATCGAGTAATATGCAAGAGTATAAAAATCTACCTCTGTTTTAATAGTTTTAACAGTTTTTTAGAGAGCTGCAAGTATGCTTAGGCCTGGCGGATGAAATTGGAAATTACAATGGGCAGCGCGCCGGCCCGATTCGCGCCGCTTGATTTTTTTTTACAACGAATTTTCTACCGCCGGCCGCCGCCGGTGGAATTGTTGTGGCGGTTGCATAACCGCGTACAATAATCGGCCGAGCCGCAAAGAGGATCAGAAGCGATCAAGTGGCCTGAACTCTGATTAATGGGGGGGCCCAATATGATGGCTCCGATTTCAATTTATATATCTCGCGTTCGGTCGAGAGGCGATTGTGCGGCTCTCTCGGCAAAAAGTTGGGATTTACGGGGAGTTTTCGATTGGGATCTCGACTGCCTTCGGACGATTGTAAAACGGTTTGTTTCGTTTGTGGTCGTAATTAGGGAGTCGCTGAATGTTTGCAAGAGGGGTGCTGTACGTCCCCCTGAGCTTGATTTGGTGAATTTTTTGAAAAAATTGGGTTTGTTGTCATTGCAAAAAAGCTCGAGAAAGGACAGGACATTATTTGCAAATAGTTTAATCGCCAGGAATATGCAATTCGGACTACATTGAATCCAAAGTATCCAATCATCGAATCATCTGTGACTATTCCAGCTTTATTTGTTATAGCAGGACAAATCATCTCGCTTCCGAAATTGAAATTCATTAAACCGAAAACGAAAACCGCCGTGATTCGACGTTTTATCAAGGGTACCGATCCCTCCCTAAGCATTAGCGTTGTTTACACTCGAGGTCGGGCAATAATAAGGTGTTTTACATGTTTATTGGGTTGAAATGGAAGCTATTTAAAGTGTCCCCGGGCGGCTGTTGTTCGCCTTTCTCGCTTTTACCGTGTAAAATACACGCCGATCGCGTGTATTTGCGACACGCGCCTAACGCTATTACTTACCGAACTCCGCTCCAGCGGCGGCGGCGCCTCTAATAATTTTTTTTTCTTCTTTATTACCTAATTCTTCATCGTCCATTTTAATATTGACAATAGAAGCAGGGGAATCGATACTATTAAAAGCTCTTATAAGGTAGACTGGGGCAAATTTAAAAATGTGGTAAATGTAATATTTTTGTCTATTATGTTAATGTTTTTATTATTTTTATAGTTCTTTTGTGCATTAGACAGGGTTTGTTTTCTCCCTACCTTTACCTAGATTTCTCTATACTTTTCCTTTTCATAAAATCGCTGGAATAATCAAAAACTTCTAAATCTAAAAATAAAACTCATTGAATAAAAGAAATAAAAAATTCCCTCTAATCCCCTCAATCACATTCCAACAAAGTTTATTAATTTTCTTCCTCTTTAAAATATTTCATTAAGGTAGACTGGGGCAAATGTAAAAATGGGGTAGGTAAATGTAATATTTTTACCTATTATGTTAATGTTTTTATTATTTTTATAGTTCTTTTGTGCACTAGACAGGGTTTGTTTCTTATTTTTTCTTTATTATTTTGTAGCTCTGTTATTTTTTGAAATAAATAAATAAACAGCATATCAAATTTTAGAGGAACCAAATATGTATTTACAATTGCCCCATATGTTTTTCTATATAATTCTATTGCACTTTAGAACCGTTTTTTACATTTATCCCTTACCATCGGGTAAATGTAACATATTGTCAACATTTTAAAAAAATATGTAAAATCGTTTTCTTCCTTTTTCAAAAAAAACTTTTTAATACCTCGATTCATTAGTTTAGGAAGTTGCGAATTTAATGTGGTATCAGTATTTCTAATAAGAGAAAAAATAAAGCCACATTTTAGGATTTAATTTGAACTATTCAAATTTTACAACCGATTTGCCCCAGTCTTCCTTACACTTTTTTCTACCTTTTCCTCTCTTCTTTCCTTCTTGCTCTAACAACACTAACATTTTTTTCTTCTTCTTTACATCAATTTTCATCCCTTTTTTATGGATAGAAAATAGTTCTAAAAATCCCTACTAAATCTATCTTATTCGGCACGCCACTGTTGTCTCTGCAGCTCCCCTTGCGCGGCGGCCCCCGGGGGGCGGCGCATGCACACGTCACGCCGCCGACTTTTAATGTACAATTAAAATACTGTTTCCCTAATCTAACTCGCTTAACAGCATTGTTTCCCAACCGCCGCTGATTCGATTCCGGCGGGAAACCCCAATAAGGAAGCGGGGATACCTTTGCATTTCAATTAGCCCCCCGGCGATTACGACGCCATCATTCGCGATGGAATCCTGCGGAGGAATCGAACGCTCCAGATCCTCTTAACTGGTGAATAGAAAAAAAAAACATCGGGTCCGTCTTTCTGGTGGTGTATAAGGGATAAATCAAAACTCGGAACCTCTGGCGCGGGGCGGTCATAACGGGGTCCCCGGGGGACGGGGCGGTGGGCAGCTCGCCGGGACGTTTAAGGAAAATATGCAAAGCGAGAGAAAACGTTTTGAATATCGCGAGGAGAGCCAATATGTGCGGCGGCAAAATAGCTTTCGGAAAAATATGGAGTAGCGGCCGGGGGGATGGAATCGAGTTGTCCGCCCCGTATCGGACGAAAATGGGTTTTTAAAGATGATGGGGAACACCGGAGATTTTTTGCGTTCGTATTCCCTCGTTATTTTGTTATTTGTTATTTTTATTCGTCCAGACGAATCCGATTTGTTCGAGTGTATCTCTCGACCGACTGGAAATGCAAGAAAGAGACTCTTAAGATATGTCAGCAGCGTAATCCTGCGATATTACCCTTCGAATCCATACGCTGGAAAATCCTGTTTCTGTGCCGGTATATAGCAACACCGCGAGGATCGTAAAACGGATTATTTTACACGATTTTCATGTTCTATCTTCTCTATTACATAGTGAATAAATTGTTTGTTATTATAACCCCATTCAGCTCGTTTAAATGACAACAGAATTCGTGATAATTCTGATCAGCCCAAATTTAATCTTGATTAGTTCTGATAACTGGTTGATCAGTCCTGATGTAGTCCAGTATTTATCTTGATTTAAGACTAGATTTCGAGCATTTTAATACATTTTCTTGGTACCAATAATGGCGCCTAAACTATATAGTATAAATTTCCCGATACATATAATCGAAGTCGCGACGAATAAGAACCATCGAAGCAGTTATTTCGGTTCATTATCTTTTCGCCCGGAGCGAAGTCCTGGCGATCATCCTTCGTCTCCTACATAATTCCCTAAACGATTCTTAATGACGCCGCGCATTATTTTCTGCATTTCATATACTTCGTATACAGTAAGGACCGATTTTATAATAAAACGTTAAAGTATCCTTTACCAAAATAAATTGTTCTTTAATCTTATGCCTAATATCATATGGTTTCATCGCTTATAGTGATTATAAGTTTCATAATTTCAAAGAATCCTTTAAGTTGTAATTAGTAAGTACAATTTAAGTAGTACATTTGAATTATCCTTTGCACTTTGCACATCTTCCCTCCTGCACTACACATAGCTTAATCGGGGCCGATAAATCGCCGTTTTTCGCATTGTTTGTTCAGATAAATTTGTCAGGTGATCGTAAATTTCTCACACACATACACACACACTCGCACACAAGTGACGAGATGATGAGTTAAAAGATTGAATTTTTGAAATACGGCTGTTCGATTTTATCTATGATGGTCATTGTCGTTGATATACGGGCAGGGGCGGATTGTTTTTTTAACCCCGTTTATTCGTCCTTCGATCAATCGCAGGATTCGAAATTATTTCGAACATTATCGCTTGTATTATCCTGGAAGGGTATATTTCTAATGCACGAATCGACACGAAGGTCTTTTACGAGCTTCGAAGTGCTTTCGGTAAGTTTTTTTTCTGGCCGACTTTCGCAAATAATTCGCTCCTTGAAATATAAACTCGAGAGCGGAAGTTGCCGCCGATAAGGTCTTTTTCTCATTAAAAACAACTCAGCTAAGTAAACGACCGCCGATAAATCAGAAGGAAAGGGCCGGGAAAATATTATTTTGTCTCCGAGTGAAATTTGTCTTTTTTTAAAATACACCTGCGTTGAAAGTGAAATATTTGGTGTTTTAGAATACGCTAATTTGTAGTTTAAAATTCAATTATAAACAATGATATGGAAATCTAACACGCCATATTCCTTTTTAATACAGGGTGTCCCAATGAAAAGTAGCCCCTTTAATGAGCTAATAATTTTTAAACGCCTAATCATAAAAACATGCGGTTTCTGTAGATATATCTTATTTTGCTATAACTTTTTGTTACAGTGACACAAAAATTTTGTATCGTCTGTACAGGGTGGTTCCAAAATCCACCTCATTTAAATTTACATCAACTAAATTTTATGATATAGGACATCTTCTTTTGTATAAAAACATATACAAATAACACATTTTTAAAAAGTAGAAGAGTATATCTTTCAAAATATCTCTACATATACGGGGTGTTCCATTTAAAAAAATGGTTACTGTGTATTTAAAACAGGAGATTTTGATAAAACACCCTGTGTTTTTAATGCCTAATTTCTGTATCACTGTAACAAAACTTATAATAAAATAAAATATATCTGAGAAAACCGCATGTTTGTACGATTATTCGTTTACAAATTACAAGCTCATTAAAGGGGCTACTTTTCATTGGGACACCCTGTATTATCACATCAATATCTACTCTATTTTAACACGGTACCTACTATTTAAAATTGATATAATATTTCACCCGAAATATCAATAATTCCATCTCTAACCTAACGAAATTATATCGAGCCGTAATTCATCCCCGTCGCGACGCCCCCCCCGCCGCCCCCTCGCCCGTTTCATTCAATTATTTAACCCTCTCTTAAACAATAGGTGGCTGTGAAATGAAGTGATGATTTTATAATGTTTGAATCACGGCTAACGTGATTTGGATTTAATGGTGCGCGAATGCCTTGATAAGCGAGAGAGGTGCAGTCGACGGGTATTTACCCCGCGTCCCGACGCCCGGCGTCCGCCTAGCGCCGCCCCCTCGACCGCCGCCCCGCCGCCGCCGCCTCCCCCGCCGCCCGTAAACATTCGAATGCATTTTTATTTTGCATTATTTAGCCGAGAGATAAGCGCTTTTGGCGTGAAAATTCAGCGTTTGTTTCG